GTACAATTATTATAAAACACCTCCTATAAAAGTAAGTAACACAATACTCACAAATATATATAAATACCACAAATACACAATACTCAAAAGGGTCTATATAACTCGTACATAACTCGTATATAACTTTAATAAGTAATGGACGACGTGGAATTTAACAAAATAAAGGTGATTTGTGATTTAATGGGCACGTGCTCTCGTTTCAAGAATTTTGATGACAGTGACGATAGATAGAACAAACATTAGAACAGCAAAAAAATTTTTAAAATAAATGGCCAGAAACCAAAAAAAAAGGGATCATCCCACCTTTAGGGTGGGATGACGATGAAGGAGGTCAGCGTCATCACAAACCTTAGAACGTTTGCGCACTTAGTGCACAAGCGATATCCGAAGTGGGTCCGAGTTTTCTAAATTTGTATAGTTTCAGATTCGGAACGGACACAAATCGGATGCAGTGCTCAAACGCGCTTACGCGGTTGAATCCTAAAGCAATCCTTTCAATGTAGGAAATATTATTGCATTTGGCTGTAAATCTGAATACATTCCTGTGTACGGTCAAAGTTGAAGGTGCTAACTGGAAAGGGTAACTTGAATCGAAGTTTCAAAGTTTGCGATGCGATCTATAGTTTAACAACTTTTACCTTGTTTGAGTTTCTATCTGAATATGATAACGAATATAGCCGCAAGGGTATCTATGTATTCTACCAAGGTGACATAATGCCAGTTTTCACGGTAAATCTCTTTTTAATCGACTTCAAAAAAAGGAGGAAGTTCTCAATTCGTCTGCATGTTTTTTTGTATGTATGTTACGCGATAACTCCGCCATTTGTGAACCAATTTTGATGATTAATTCTTCTTTTGTTGGAAAGAAGGTACCTCAGATGTGGTCCCATTTAAATTTCAACAAAATATTCCACCTCTAAGGGCGGCAAACTAGGGGATGAATGACTTTTGAGGTCGGTTTTTTTAACCGGAGGTAAGGTTATATATATTATTATGACATAAAAGCAGCATGAATAAGCCTATATTTATAATTGGTGCCTAATTCAATTTCCATTGCGGAGATTAATATTACAAGTTATTATAATACAACCTTGATTTAAGTAGGTACAATTCGCCATGGTTCATATGATATTATTATTTTTTTGTAACAACTGTATTTATACCTGGTTGTAATACATCATTTCTATTCTATTATAAACCATTACCGTGGTACAGTAAGACAAGTAGGGTAACTCTAAACAAACTTAGCAGTAGTATAAGATCCTTGTGAAAGTGTTCGTCTTGGGACGTACTGCCACCTTACTTATTTCTGCCGTCAAGCAGTAATGTGAGCATTACTGCATTCGTATTTCGAAGCGTAAGGGTGCTGGTGAAATTACATAGGCACATGGGACTTGTCAACTTGTCTCAGAGTGACGGGTGCAGTGGCAGTACTCCTCAGATCTTTGCGATTTAAAGCTCTGAGTGGCACTGCAACTGTTGTGGACAGGCGTGTAGGTTACCACCAGGTGCACGACTTGTTCGTCCCGTCACTTGATATTATTAAAAAAGCAGTGCGGCTTGTACCCGTGTACGGATGCATATATTCGCTTAATCTCGCAGTGCACTCACATTGCATAGCGCGAGTCGTCGCAAGCGCCATTCATTATAGAATTGAAGCGTTTGCTCGATGTTTAAAAAAGACAATAAATAGTAGACATGTTTATTGTCGTGTTTATGGTGAGTTCAAGAGTGACTAAATTCAGAATTGTTATTCATTTCTAGTTCATGATCGTAGTTCTATAATCGAGATACCAATCTGCGATGCTGATACGATAATAGCAGTACGTAAGTACTGCATTTAACAAAGGTTATTTCAACATAGCACGAGGATACTGTAATGAACATCTTAGCTTTTTAACGGACTTTTAAAAAAATAAGGTTCTCAATTCAACTGCATTTTTTTGTGTACGTACGTTACGTAATTACTAAGACATTTGTGAACAGACTTCGATGATTCTTTTTTGTTGGTAAGGAAGTAAAGGCGTAAATTACTCCACAATTTTGTATGGCTAATCGTACAACGCCCCTAGCGGTCACAAGAAGAAACAATATTTTGTATACAAACATTTTACGCGGTCGCTAACGATAACTGTCACTGTAATCTCATGGTAGAGGCATTGAACAGTAAAATTAAATTAAAATATGTATCAGTGCCTTTTTGTTACATCTGTAATTATTTATTGCGAGCGCGTTCTTGAAGCACGCCAGCTAGCTACCTTATCGCTAAATGTTGGTAACAATATTGAATAAAAAGTCTTAAATAAAATCAATTCTCAACTTCTTTTTATTTTCTCTGAAATGCATGTCCGAGGAGAAAATAGAAACTCGCTGTTTACGTAATAAAAAACGGAAATTGGTTCATTCAATACGGTATGTACATAACGGTGTGATCTTAAGAGTAAGGCAAGCCCTCACCGTAGTTAAGGGGTAAGAGACCTACTGTTGGCACGCACCGGCCTTGGCCTTATTCATTCAAATTTGGATTTCAACAACGTAGAAAAAAAAGGCAAATTCGCTTAGCTTCGTGAAAAATTGTTTTGGTATAAACACTATTGTGATGAATAGGGGTTCAATTGAAGATTACATAAAGCTTGTTAATGTTTTTTTATTTGACCTATACAGTCAAGCGGGCTAAACTACTGGCGTATCTATTTTGGATAACCAACATTTTAGATTTTAAGACCCCTTTTGTAACACGTTATATGCAAAAGAGGAAATGTTCTGCGACACGGGACGTTACGCATTCAGTGTCTCAGTGTCAAAATCCACAGTAGGGCTAGCACGATAAGGCGCGACTCGCGCCAGTGCGATATAAAGCGCGAGATACTGCTATTCTCGCAGAGATCTCGTGCAACTGGCGCCCTGTCGTGCTAGCCCTACAGGACAACGGAAAGGGGTCTTTTTAGAGTCTTGTTAAATGAGGAATATATATTCATCACGTTTGTGCTTGTAACGCCCCAGCACAAAACTGCATCGCCGCGCCTCAAAACAGAAAAAATGTAATTAAAATCGTATTGTAAAATGCATTATTATTTCTTTAAGTAAAAATAACAGACGTAGTGGCGGACACCGCACACATTAGGCTCAAACTGATAATTTTTGAGTAATTTTCAGGTTAGTTTTCCGTACCTAATTTCGGTCGCAATTTTTTCATTGTTTATTTAAATTTACTAGAATCCCATCATGAAGTATATTTAAAATTCGAGTGTGGTATCCCGAAATGTTATTTAGTATTTCACTATAATATACTCAATGCTTAAATAGTAAAAATAGAATAATAAAAATAATAGATATACCAAAATCAGGTAAAGAAAACTGACCTAGAAATTAGTCAATATTAAATATTAATAGGAACAATTTGTGGAATACCTACTGAGCTGGTTTCTTATGGTAAATAATGACATTGCTTACAACTTTTACACTCCTGTGATTGACTGTTTCAGAGAAAAAAATAGTTTAAATTTTGGTATATCGAAAAGTAGTAAAGTGTTTGTGTTGTCTTAGTCACATATTAGTTAATACGCAAAATTAACAAGCAAAAAATGCATCTGCAGGTACTAGCACTTTTAGTAATTTTTGAACAAAATATACAAATTAGCACTTAAAAATGTATAAATTTAAATATTCGTCATTTAGACTGTTGTAACCATAAAGCTAAATCTTAGGTTTCCGCAGTTGTTACACATAGGAAATGAAACTATTTTTTTCGGATCTAAAGACTGTGGATAATTTTCAGGTCAGTTTTCTCTACCTAATTTTGGTGGCAATTTTTATTATTTATGTATTCGAATATATTATCATGAAATATTAAATAATATCTAAGGTCAGTACACTCAAATATTAAGTAAAACTTCATGATAGTATTCTGGAATATTTAAATAATAAAAATTGCCACCGAAATTAGGTAAAGTAACCTGAAAATTACTCATTTATGTTCACCCAAAACTGACAATCAGCCGTGAACATGGGACCTTTAAAGAGCTCGTGGTTTGTTTAAAAAAAAATATACGCGATTTAGATTCGAAGAAATAGGTATATTTCCTCCACATAAATCGAAAGTTAAGAAGAAACATACATGCTATTAAAAGAATGCTTTAAAAAAACCGCCTCTTTTCTGGTAAATCTGCAAAAAATAAATCTTATATTTGTTAATACAAAACAAAAACTCTGAAACTATCAACTATCAGGAAAACTGAAAACTGTACCGTAATTACGCTACAGTTGTCAGTAATTTCGTCATTTAGCCTGTAAGAAAACCAGCTGTGTTCCACAAATTGTTCCCATGATTCAGATTGGGCTGTGTCATCGGCGCACCTTGAACTAAATATCGTCATTAAAATATACTCTATTCCATACAATGTTAAGCCCGTTTTTCAATATTCGAGTACTGGGTATCGGACGGAGTATTGAAAATAAATTATGAACCCAGACAATGTTGGTCTGTTCAGCCGTTAAGTGACGGACGACCTTCAGCTGTTCAATCCCTATAAAACCTGCCTCTTCTAAGGGCGCAGGGCTGAAGTATGTTGCGTAGTACGGACAGAGTCAAAAATTGCAATGGAAATTCCTTGTTCATCTTGCTTTTCTATAGTAAGTAGCTAGTGGCAAAATTATTATACGCTATTTTTGATAAAGAATGAAAAGCAAATCTCTCTCTCTCTCTCTATGTCTATTAAAGGACTGTTCATATTAATTTACCAAAAAAAGTATATGTATAAATTTTTAATTTACATTAAAATGCGAGTACATTTTAATTAACTAGCTTTAAAACCAGAATTAGTTTAACTCGAGGCTTGGTTTTGGCTAGTTTTGTTTTGAGAGTGTAGAAATTTGGGGAAAAGATTCCTGGTTTTTTTTTTAATTATATAATAATTACCAACCACCTCTTCAGGGACGTTTGCGCTTTTTATTAAAAAACCTTATACCTAATAATGTCTATAAAAGTATAAAATTTGGAACGGGGTATTTTTTTATTTAATCCTAATAAAAATGTGAGACAAAATAACATACAACCTTATTATTAAGCTTTATTAAGAGTGAAGCAAAGCAAACGTTTTTATGTTAGGTGCTATGTCTACCGCTCTCCCTATCCGCACTACGATAAAAGCGAGTTTCTATTTTTAATCCATTATTTTTAACTAATTGGCGTAATTCATACGAAGTACAAAATATGCCTTTGAAGACTTGACCATTTTGTAAATACTATAAAGTGACTAACATAAGCCGAGCTCTCCACGGTCGGAGCTTAAAAATCCACAAGAAATTATGCTTATTGCGATCAAAGTTAAACTATATGATTATGCGTTTTGGTAAGAGTAGGCAACACGTCATTTAATACCATTAAAGTTTGCTTTTATTGTTCCTTGGCACACATATTCTCTATATCATACATAAGTATATCACATGAGGGCGTTAATAGCTGCGATACAGTCTTGTCGACAACTGTATTTATTTTATTTCATTTATATTGAACATCATGATATTTTAACTAAAATGATATTCATCACTTGTGAAAATTACCCACTAGTTTGTTAATAAACATAAAGAAAAATTCGGAGTAGGATCGAAGAAATTCTTCTTTATGTTTGTTCGATTATCAATAATAAATAATAACATGCTGTACTTATTATCAAACAATTAATTTTTGTGTAAATACTCTCTTTGATTTAAAATTTTATTTATTTTATTATGCCAACAAAAGATGAAATGGAATGTAAAGTAAAATAATGGTATAAAGGTTGTTTTTTTTTTGTGTTTGCTGGTGTGGTGGTAAACCTACACACCTTTTATACCGCAGAAGAAAACAACAACCGTTCACGTTTGATAATACCCGAGTGTCCAGAAACACGTACAATCATAACTAAACTTTTTATGACGTACTATTCATGTTGCCAACTCTCAAACCATTTAAAGAATGCTAACACTTTAATATAGTAGGCTAAATGTTCAGTTGTCATTATACAATTAGGTGCAAAGCCATTTAGCAAACTAAATTTAGCATAATGTAAACGGACCTTAGCTTTGTTGCTCATAAAATTAAATTAAGACTGTGAAATCCTTTTTCGTGACATATTGTACGTAATAATTAAATTCTAATTCTATTATACAGAATTCGAGAAACGTAACCTATATTACAGATTTGTTAGCTAAATTACATAGATAACTCCTAACCAAAAGACTTACATTTTACAAATTATATTGTGTATAAGGCCAAAGGTTCACAAGGTATCACAATTTAGCCAACAGTTAGTCCAGTCTTGCTTTACTATTGCATAACTATCGCCTTAAAAACCAATTACCAATTTGAGTATACTAAATGGTATACTTAATCGTATAAATTAAAAACAATAAGTATGTTACGTTATAAGTAGAGAACAACCTATCAAGACATCCAAATTAGCATAACGTAAACAAGGTTTGAGTTCTGAACTTCACTGCCTATAGTAATTGTGCCAATAATTATTTTTAATCTTGCAATACATTATATTTGTTTTTTGCGCCAATTGGATCTTCATACTTAAAAAGTAAAGACATCATTAGTACACTACTCTGATGTGTGGAGAATAAAGCGCTCAGGACACTGAAATTAGCATAATGCAAATGGTGTTCCAGTTCTTAGCCGCACACTATCGATTATCATAGTCACAAAATAGTCAAGTCATGTTATCTATAGACTAGAAATTAACAAATATAAGACAAAACAGCATCTGTATAACATGGGATATTGTACATAAAAAGTAACCACTCAAGGTGATCCAAAAACTCTCTCAAATAAAATAATAATATACATACATATTTTAATGAAAACGAAAAATGGGTGGGAAATTGAAATCATTTAACAAACAACGTTCTATTTTGATTTGTTATAATATCAAGTGATGGAACGAACAATCGCGCGCCTGGTGGTAAGCGACACGCCTATCCATAACAGTTGCATTCAGAGCTTTAAATCTCAAAGACCACCGCCACTGCGCCCGTCACCCTAAAACATATGTTTGCTTCCAGTGGTTCCATGTACTCAGTTCTACGTGGAACAAGTGACAACCCTTCTAAACCGGAGCGCAGTGATGCTCACATTACTACTTGGCAGCAGATAGGTATGGAGTACTTCCTTAGACGAACTCTTTCACAAAGAGTTCTACTGCTACTAAATTTATTTCTACTTAAAATTCGACCTCTATGACGATATTTACGAAGCGACGCAATAAAAACCATTTTAATTGTTCTGATGTTGGTGTGTTAAGAGAATTATTCTTCATGTTTTACCATAGTGTAAGAATAACACTACTCACATCTTCATATTTTCATCAAGGCAGTGAATTGATATTACACACTAAAAATGTCTGATTTCGGTGTGCTATGAAAGTTAATACTTCATATTTTAGGATAGTGTAATGTGAATATTACTCAAATCTTCACATTTGGATCAAGTGCAGTAAATTAATATTACAATGATATTACACTCTGAAATTAGCATGTAAATGGTGTTTTAAGAAAATAACTAGAAGAGGGCAGTATCATGTTTCTGCGTACTCGATTGCAGTTTTAGTGCAATAGGAAAGCCGCATGTAAACGTTAGTTGCTCAATTGTTAAGGCCGATTTCAATTTTCCACCCCTAAAAGTCACAAATGGATTCATACTAGTTTTAACTATGTACACTATACATGATGCAGCTAGAGAAGTTTCGCTCTAACGGTAAATTCAGTCTAATTTTAAAATTTCTTGCTTAACGTCACATTAAGTATTGATTTCCTTTAAGAATAAGTAAGAGGCAGTATCGTGAATTCTTCTCACAATTCTAATCGTGCTGTGACCATTCTTTTTTAGGAAATTTATTAAACACAAGATTTAAGGCGCCCTATCTCTATATCCACCCTTGAATCCCGATTCAACGCATTTTTACTACTCAAATGTACCACTCTCAAAAGACAATATCATGTCAGACAACAAATTTTACTTTACTACGGATGTTGCTTTTATCGGTATACTTTCGTACAAATTTCTCTGTTTTAAGCTCTTTTCTGGACCTTCATTGTTGTACCTTATAATCAGTTACTAATAAAATTTAACCTCGCAAGTCAACAATATCCTAATGTGACATAAATGCCGTTAGAATTAGTGAAACTTACAAAAACCTTAGCTGCTTTTAGTCTTATTGCATTATAATTCACAGTAACACTACACTGTACAATCACAGATCACCAAAACCTTTGGGGACGCGGGCCCATCCATCTGTTTGGAGGCCTGGGCCCGTTCCTGGGCCACATGTGCGGCGGCCCAGGGCCGAACTGGGGCCTGAATCCACCGCCATTAGTCCGCGGCCCCCAGTTTCTGGGGAATCTCTGGTTATTAAAAGGTCTCTGTTGCCACTCACTATTGCTGAACTCGAATTCTGGGGATGCCTGCCTCATTGCCGGATGCTCCATACCTCTGCTTCGTAGTTCTTCATCGCAGGCACTGTCGTTTGAATTCTCTTCTTTTTCTTCGAAATCTCTATGGAAAGCGGGAAATTTCTGGAACGGCATATTGAATTTCTTTAACGCCGGTGGCATATTTTCGAATGGATTCGAGAGAGGTGGTAGCACTGGTGCTGAATGTGGTTCTTTCTTTTCAAAGTCTCGGGAGTTGATTTGTATGAGATTTGTGTTGAGGTCTTTGTGATTGGTTTTGCCGTTGTTGCCTCCAACTAATACTTTGTTGTTGTTGTTGAAACTGTGACGTCGCTCGTTTTGATTTGATTGCTGGTTTGGGTACACTCCTTCTGAAAAATAATGAGAATATTTTAGTTTCTTATTGAAGTATGCAAGAAGATTTCCTACAATATTATACAGTTGATGTATGACGCAAATATTGCACACATTAATAATGGTTTTAAACACTAAAGAAACGACTTTACAATATAACACGTGAATTTTACAGCGCTAAAGCCATTCAATGGCTAAAGCAAATAAATTTAATCTTTATTGCTTTTGCCGAGTTGCATACCACATTGCGCAACTTGGACGACGTTGTCAGGCTTCATGACTGCCCTTTGTGCATTTGTGCCCTCTGGCGCCACAGTGTCGCTGCAACAGCGCCACTGCGCATTTTCATATATTTAGAAGCGCAATTGCGGCGCCTCTGTCGTGACACGTGCGCGCCTCTTTAGCTGTCACAGTTCTGTGGCTCTAGTGAAAAGGGGTACAAGTCAAAAAAACCAACTTTGCAAGGAGACTCGAAAAACAGTTAAAGCTTAATAAGATATTAAGTGTTCGCGTTTCCTTGTAAAGTTGGCATTGTTTTACTTGTACCCCTTTTCACTAGAGCCACAGAATTCGTCAACTAAAAATTACTAAAGCACTACAGACACGCAACCACCACCGCGCCACCGCTGGTGCCGTCTATTTTGAAGGCGCCTTTATCGTATGTTCTGTTGTAAAACTGACTTACGTTGATCTTCATCTTCCGACAAGTCCATATCAACACTTTCGACGATATCTGTTGGAGGCACCAGTGGAGGTACTCTGTAGTCCTGAAATAAACAGCACACTTTGTTGGTTACATCTACATACACCTATATTTTTTTTCATTTAAAGTAAATAGAAGAAAAAACACGAAGGAAATGCCTAGTGTTCATGCTTCGCCTTTTCTTCGGGTCGGCAGGCGTCGCCGGCGCAATGAAATGTCGCGGGGCGCGCGGAAGAGGGCCCCCTTTCAAGCGTGCACGCGTATGTTGTAATCAGTCCGTTCTATAGACGATTATTGTTATTTTTAAATAAAAATAATCGTAGAAAAGGCCATATGTGCACGCTTAAAAGGATGATGATGGTGAGCAATGACACTCCAAGTCCATAAGGTACACGCACGTATATTTTAACTTTTGACAAATTCACAAATAAGTAATAAATTCAATATAAAAGGCATGACCAGCCCGGTGAACGTTAGCTGAGCGAGCCCCGAGCGTTCGTGCGCCCTCTTCCGCGCGCCCCGCAACGTTCCATTGCGTTGGCGACGGCTGCCGATGATACCCGAAGAAAAGGCGAAGCGTGAACACCTAATTACAGATAACCGAGAAGGCTTGTAAAGACACTGAATACCATTAGAGAGTGAATTTTTGACGACCAAATCTAAAACTACAAGACATAAAAGCTCAAAGGAGTGACTGGGCAGATTTTAGTGAAAACTAAAACGGCGTCATTAATATTTGAACAATTTATTTCCCTAGCCGAAAATTAAGCTGGTTGGAATTGCAAAAAACCTGCCAACGTTGGTGCGGCCCACTTAGACTAAGCGTATATCCACGTCGAGTGCCGCTGGATCGAAATCAATGTAGCCAATACAAAATTTTCAAAAAAAAATGAAACGCATAAAATCAATAATTAGGGCCTTAATTACAGACTTTATAGTAGATAGCCTGTAGATGCAAACAACAATACTATACATGCAGTATTCGTAAAATCTACTTGCATACATATATACACATACGTATTAAATAATCACATCAATAATTTTTTAATAACAGTTCGAAATTGGGGAATTTCATCTTTTTTGAATAAAAAATATTGTTGATTACTAATCTCTAAGCAGTCATTACTAGTATTTATTATTTATTTATATTTAGTCGCAGTAGATCTCCTTGTTTACGTTCTTCCAGGTAAGTACTGCCACCTTATCATTTCTGCCGCCAAGCAGTAGTGTGAGCATTACTGCGTTCTGGTTTAGAAAGATAATGGTGTAGGTGAAATTACGGTCACAACTTTACGTTATTTAAAAAAAATGCTTCAGGGTGACCGCCGCTGTGGCAGTACCCCTAAGATCTTTACGATTTAAATCTCTGAGTGACACTGCAACTGTTATGCAGGGGCGTGTCGCTTACCACCAGACGCACGACTTGTTCGTCACGTCACTTAGTATTACAATAAAAAAAACTAGCAAGTAATCAAAAAGCCCAGACTCAATATAACAAATATAATAATAAATATTAGACAACATCACATACGATGCTTTGATCCCAAAGTAAGTAACTAAAACACTATTGTTATGCAAATAGGAGAAAACGACGGTACCATTAACCCAGACCCGAGACAATATTATAAGCAAAGTCAGTCCAAAACTAGGACCAAATTCGACAAGCTGGACCAATTTAGAATACAAACGTGGAGAAATAAGAACAATGCGAAAAAAACTTAAGAAATACCATCAATGATAAATAAAACTAAATCAATATTTCAATAAGAAAATCCATTTCAGGGTAATTGTACAAGTAGTACTGATTTAGGCAAATTGAACGAGTACACTTTAAGATCTATGACATACAAGACTAATTAGGCAAGAAACGTGAATACACATACTTGGACAAGTAGCTCCAATTCACAAAACAGTCTTAAACAAATTAACTCAAGCGCTAACCCGGCTAACAGTTCACATGCGAATAAATGGGCCTTGGACAACCAGGAAAGCAGAAATTCGCAGATTACCAATGACCGACTTGACGATCGACTCTCTAGACATCGACATACAGATAAAAATGTTTTTAAGTACTACAATAGCAGCAATTCAATGAGATCGTTGAATAGAGTAGTAGGACAATAACCTTTCGAATACGTAGGAGAACACCAGTATTGGTGAAATCATAGGCACATGGGACTTGTCAACTTATGCCTCAGAGTGACGGGCGCAGTGGCAGCGCCCCTTAGATCTTTGCGATTTAGAGCTCTAAGTGGCACAACAACTGCTGTGAACGACTTCTTCGTCCCGTTACTTCGTATCATAAGAAGGAACAAAAATTAACAAAAACCGCCCCGTATCAAGTACTTTCATTACGGACATTCGAGCAATACTGAAAACTCAACCGCCGACAACGGCACATCTTAAATACAAACACAAATCATGCAATACTCACAGACACACTTACTTGATCCATGCTAGTCGGCATGGGGGGAACGTGGGGGTCGTGGAGTACTAGTGAGGGTCTGGGTGGCTGGTGCGTTAGCGAAATGAGGTTTCTGTGGTCTACATCTGGAAATATAACATTTTATTAACAGTGGATTAATAGACTGCAATTTTCAACTCAAGCAAAAATATGTTGAACTCCGCGTACTGTTGGTACACGTGTCACGCCCAATAAGCACTTCTACCGAATTTATTGTTCTGTGAATCATAATAAGATAACAATAATAATTTTAAATTACCTTGCTGCCCGATTGGGTGCCTATTAGTTGGCACGGTGGCCGGCGGAAGTGGCGGCGGTAATGTTGGTAACAGTCTGTGGTCCACGTCTTCGATATCTGAGAAAAAAAATATCTTAAAAACTAAACTCCGTAAAAAAAAAGTGGCAAAAGGGTGGCGTTATTTTAACATCTCTACATGATTTGAAATTTAATTGGCTTACTACGAAATAAATAGATTTTTAGAATGAGGCGAGTTCAAATTATGTAATAGTACCATTTAAAAATAAATAAGCAGTAATTATCTGACTTACTTCCTAATAAAGGCAACACTGGTGGCGGTGGCGGGGGTGGCAGAATACCTCTGTGATCAACATCACTTGGAGGCGCATCCTGAAATCAACAGAAAAATGTAGTACATTATTTAGTAATTATTGCAGAGCACTTGAGCCGGAAATACGGAATCGACAGTATAAATAATATAGTCAAAAGCGTTTTCACTTATGTTTCAGAAGATTAGACATCTGATTCCTATTATGGATCGGGGCATGGTAAATTACCTTGCAAAAACCTCTCATGATCGGTACTAGATAAAATGCCTTTAATTATTTTGCTTTTGCGTATGCTATCTATGAATATGATTTTATTTTAAACTATAATTGCACGAACAAGAACAAGTCAGTGGTAAGATTTTATTAAATGAATAAAATATTAAGTAAAAAGCAGTGTTCTTCCATAAATATTTGATGCACTTCGGGGGCAGTAAAAAAAATAACCTACCACCTCGTAAAACATTGTAGAAAATGCAATAAAGTATAGAAATATTCGAAATATTGAAAACATATCGTGTTGAATAAGATCTCAAATTACTTGATATCGATGTTCGTACCGTTCGTCCTTAATTCTTTGCTTAAAGCTCTACTTTGACACAAAAGTAACCATGAACCTTATTACCAGTGATCGGAATTGAGGGAGTTAATGTACCTAAAGTATGAATATATTCTTAGTATGGACATATCTATTTCGTCATCATAGCATATATAATTTCTTATCATCGTGAATATTTTTTGTTTATACTATGATATCGAGTATTTAACAGTGAAATACTAGTAAAAATTTGGTGTTAATACGTGTGGTAATACCAAAAACAGTTCACCAATCGGGTACTGTAATTTGCTGGTAACTATAGCTACCAGTGACGTTTGACTTAAAGCGTACAGGGAATTAACGATCTTGGTCAATCTAGTCGTGGGCTTTTTATGAATTCTAGTTTTTTTGACTTCTTTAACAGGTCAATTTTTTAATAGTAGACTTCGTAAAATACCGAATGACGACTCTTTTCTTACTTTTTTAACAAGTTATTTATACATAAATACTATCAAATTTAGATTTAAGTGCCAATGCACTGGTCATAAAGCCAATGAGCCATTCGCTTTATGACCAGTTTGCGCTTGTACGAAGTAAAAGTACATTCCTTGGTGTGTTTGATAATTGCTGCAACATTATCGAATTGATCTTACCGACCCAGCAATGCACATCTACATATCGCTTGGTACCTGATGGGTCTCACTCACCAGTGGCGTCATGAAATCAGCGCTCGGCGTGTAGGTGGGCGGGATAGGCGCGGGCGGGATGGGCTTGGGCGGCAGCGGCGCGGGCGGGGGGGACTCGGGCGTGTCCAGGAACACGCCGCAAGAGGGCGCCAACGCTGGCACGGGCGGAGGGGGTACTGGCGCTGGCTGTCGTCAATAAAAATTGTCACAAACATTTTAACTCTTTACTGACACGTTTCGCCCAAAAAGTCACCTTCTGTTCACCTTATTGTTAAAAACTAAAAAGTTTGAATCGCAAGTCCAAGCTTTAATCCGTCCTAGGTCCGTAAAGATTATCGTACAGTAGCGTCCTAGAGCAACACAGTATCTCTAACGCGCAGCTGTGTTTTCATCTACCATTTTTTTTAAAATACAATTTATAAAAAAATGTATTAAAAAATTACCAAATTTACACCGTGTCTTCACAACACGTAACGGTTTAAAACAAGTAGAAGCTTCTTTTTATACTTAGTTTAACCATAAAACAAAAATACGAATTGCGAATTTGTTCTTTTTGAAAATAAATAATTTAAGAGCTATGTGAACTTAATTTAACTATGTTTAAAAACCCATTGAACCCAAAGAAGGATTGACGCCTTCGCATTACTCGTGGGTCTAAACATTTTTAACCTTTGACCATACCAAAGGTTTGGTTTATATAATCATGATATTTCATAGATGAATAAGATGGTGGAGGGTTAGTTCCAGCCTCCGTTATTAAAGGTAATAAAATGATAATCACCGGTATACTCCAATTGTTATTCCATGGAACACTAGCTTCAGGATGATAAGGCTCACCTTCATCTGGAAAACAAATTGTTTACATTTGTCTTTAAAGAATAAATTTAAGTATTTTTAATGTATCTTTCTTAAGTGTAACAAAGTGATAACACTATGTTGCAGTTGGTGATTGTGCTAATGTTATTATTAATTAGAATTTCTATAGTGTCTTTAAAGACGAGATTTGTATTAAAGAGTAATATGCAATTTAAGGCTGATTTACATTGACCCAGTAGCTTACAATAGAAATATGCTGACGTAAACATATTTCAATATTTATTTCTACCTATATTTATTGTGAAAGCACTCCACTAGTTTGTTGTTATAAATTGATACAAAAATCGAACATACTCAAAGAAAACTTCTTCCGATCCGGCTGGACTCGAACTGCAAAAGCTGAAAGCGCTCTCTCCTGGTTCAAGTTCAGCCTTATCGAAGGAATTTTTCGTTGAATTTGTTAGATCTTTCTATCAATTACAATACACACACCAAAAGTGTCTAGAGATCAAGGTATTTTTTTTAAATATTTGATTACCCTATTCAAGGTAAATAAAAAATCTAAATAAATTTATTACATGATTTATTTAATTATTAAATTGACCAAAAATACCAATGGTATGAAAAAGATTAAATAAAAACCTGATTTTCAGTAATGGGCAAAAACGTGCTCGATCCCTCGACACTTTTATTGAGTATATTTCAATACAACCAGAGAGTCACGAAAAGTATTCTTTTCTCGCCAGCACCGCCAAGAGAACATTGTAGATCAGCCAATACTGTTAAAAATTTTTTATGTAAATGCTGTGTACCGAATTGTAGTCGAAATATTCAATTTTCGAGTACGTACATATAGTTTTCCAAAAATGCAGTTTTACAAAGTATGACCCGAAAGAATAATTATTTTGCATCAATGTTATGATCGAAAATAATACCAAATGCATGTGCAAAGTAATTAGTCTATAGTGTGTGCTTCTTTGCTACCGTACTATAAGTTCGTTCAGTGCAAGTTATACGATTTGTGCCCTGTGAAAGCGTAATATAAATACTGTTTTCAGAATTAGGCCCAATGTACATACTGCGGAAAGGAATGGAAGCGTATATTTGTAGCGAACTGTACATAGCAGAATGAATTTATGTCAATTGTGCAACGTGCTAATTAAGTAGGTACGAGAAATCCCAAGACTATGCGAGAAATTTCGAGAAAACAGATATTTTTTGGCTCGTATCTATTTTGTACGTTACAGCATTGATATTAAATTCACTATGTTATGCTTATTACAAAAATTCGCGGCAATGTAAATTGAGCCTTACGCGTCTAGTTTAAAAATATTTTAAGACCTCTAGCGGCGATCGCATACAAGGCAAAGAAACAATGGTACCAATAAAACTAGCTCATTTTGTGCTGATTTTACGATGTTACCTCGAAACGGTCCAAGCTAAAAAAGGCCCTCGTTTTTTTTTAACTTGGGCCGTTTCGAGGCGAGAATTAATGGGCACTCCACCTTCGACTTATTGCCAGTTATCATCAAGCGACATTTTGTTTTTAATGTGCCATAAAACCATACCAATCACTTGGTCTCAAACTAGGAAAATACCATGTGTACTATGAGTACCAGAGCAAGGGAGTTCACTTCAGGACACTACCCAGAACACCCAGACCAGAACTAATTTAGAAACGTTGATTTTCCATATTGGTCGTACCGGGAATCGAACCCACGACCGCCTTATCCAGCACCCACAGTGCATTTTTGAGCCATCGCGGTTGTCAAGGCGGGTTTATGGTTAAATGCTTTTCTATCATTAAAAAAATTGCGCACGCGTATTCTCAGTATCTATTTCCACAAACTTTGATGGAAAACTCTTTGAAAAATAGTGTTGTAACAAATAAAAGCGTGTGTACACAGTTACCATTTTGAGCACCAAATAGTATTAATCACATTTAATTACTTTAAAGCCACGTTCCAACGGTTTAACAATTCGTCTGCTGTCATTTTAAAAGGCGCATATTCGTCGGGGTACACTTATCACGACATCGCAATAACGAGCCCAATTATCGAGTCCTGTGACATGACACTTTATGTCAACAGCCATGTTCACTGAAGTCTAGCAACGTAGCACGATGTCGCATATGACTTGTGTCCCGCGAAATTTATCACCTAGTGTGCATCGTACGCACTGCACCACTGCGTCATTTATACACGAATGAATAGTACCATTATAATACTAATTTACTGTTAAAATTTAATTAATAAAAGCTATTTTTATTATTATTACCATTCATATTATCCATAGAGCCGTAGAAAGATGTCGGCGGTGGCGGTATCCCGATACTATCAGGCGTCAGTAAATCCAGTCCCGGTAAAGTATCTTGAGATTTTTGCGACATTGATGTACTCGTCACTACGCAAAATACACCCATGGTGAGTTTTCCCCCTTACTAATAAATGTTGTCTAAATACTGACAGGTAAGGTTAAGGCTAGGGACAAATAGAGCGGAAATTACGTCTGAACTTCAACTGAAGTCTCCATGGTAACATGTAAAAATGTTGAATTTTGTTCCGTAACGGTGTAACATGAAATTCAGCTAGCGCACCATTGACTTACAAATAAATGGACGACGGGTCTAATACAAAAACCACGATAAAAATGTCCCAAGTCAACCTATTTAAACGTAGTGACATGTAAAGGAATATGACAAAACTTAAACGTTGAATTTAAATTGTAATGTCATCGCAGTACTGTCTAATTTTGCTTGCTTCGCTGTCAGTCGAACAAACGAAGACTAAAGCGTGAATGACGCTCTGTATACGATTTTAACGCCCTATAAGTTCGGACACTTTTTAGCGCGGACCCGACGTCCGTATAATTGTAAGTCAATGTAGCGCACGCTTAAATTCAGTTTTTTACGCTAAATTTAATCCTAGCCTTAGAATCAACGACATGTTGCGAAATTTAGCTATTAAACTGATAAACGAACGTTGACATTTAAGAGACTAAAGTAGTTTGTATAACTTTAACAGTAAACTCTGTAAATAGTAAATAAAATCATAGTATAATAAGACAAATGTGGTAACTCCATGCAAACTACGGATGCACACATTCGCGTAATATCGCGGTGCACTCGTGTTGCATAGCGCGAGTCGTTACACGCGCCATTAATTATAGAATTGAAGCGTTCGCGCTGTTTAATAATGACAACAAATAGTAGACGTGTTTATTGCTGTGTTTCTGGTTATTTGAACTAGATTGCCTCAAATTCAGAATTGTTCAGCATTTAAGACCTTGTCCAGAAGGAGCAAATTCGCCGCGTATCGTCTCGCGCGTATTATGTGCGTACGTTGCGTCCAAGCGTTTGAGGACGTTTCAGTGAATATTTGAACTAAACTACTATGTACTGACAAAGTTATTAATTTCAGAAGTGTAATTTTCGTACCCTTAGCATTTTATGGGTGTAAAATATTCATCCATACTTAAGGTTATGAAAAGGACAGGTCTGTAGTATGTACCATATAATAGGCAAATTGCACACGGAGGTTATAACAACTATGGTAGGCTGTTTATTAACTATAAGCAACCCTGTCAACCTCTAAGACCCAACAAATGATGAATACCGGGCTATTCACAATTTCTTTTTTATTGCTTATAACTTGAAAAATGACAATCTTTCAATTTTTCTTAAGATTTATGATAAAATATATATAAATATATATATATATATAAATATTTATGATATAAATTTCTGAAGATTTTTTTTATAATATGAAGTGACGGGACGAACAACTCGTGCGCTTGAAGGTAAGCTACACGCCTGTCCATAACAGTTACAGTGCCACTCAGAGCTTTAAATTGCAAAAATCTGAGGGGCACTACCTCTGCGTCCGTCACTCTGAGACATAAGTTGACAAATCTCATGTGCCTGTAATTTCACCAGCACCCTTACCCTTCAAAACCGGAACACAGCAACGCTGACATTACTGCTTGGCGGCAGAAATAGGTAAGTAAGGTTTACAAACCCTGCTTGTTTGTTTACCTTATTTCTAAAGTTAAAAAATCTAATTGGATGATGGGAAAAAATAAACTAAGATTTCCCGAGATATGTGCACTCGCTCTGAAGTTCGCGCGTAACGTGGACGTAACCAAGGAGTTCCTAGTACCTCGACTCGCGCGAGACGCGCGCCATTGTCGAAGTGTGGTGTATTGCACGCGAATTACGCGCACATTGTCAACTCACGCGATCCTTGTGGACGCGATGTATAAGCGTCCAATACCTCGCCAACGCGCGTTACGGGCGAGACAATACGTGGCGAATCCTCCTCTCGAACACTCCTTCTGGACAGGGTCTAATTCCTATTTCATAATCACACTCCTATAATCGATATATCAATCTGCGATGCTGGTATACATGTATCAATACGCAAGTACTGCATTTAACAAAGATTATTTTAATATAGCACGATAATACTGTGATGAACACCTTAATTTTTTCAAATCATGTTTACGACCTGTAGGTACGCCTAAAATAATAATGTGACAACCCTACGCTCCGAGAGGTATAGGCATTTACAATTATACATATATACATTTAGAGTCGCCCTCCATGTCTTATTATACTATGGTAAAACTGTGTGATCGTGGTGTCTAATTCTAGACAATATTGTGTAGTAAAACTGCGAATGCTTTTATTACCCAAAGGAACTGCAATTAGGATGCAGAATAAATGTAAATGTGCTATATAAGCTGTCAAAAAGAAAAGATGGAACTTTACTATACGTATGTATTCGAAATTGAGATGAGTTTATTAAATTAAAGCAATTATCAAAAACTTACTTAATTTTTTTTTAAATACAGTCTAATATTGTGTGCAATGCAAAAAATATTCGAAATAAAATATACAACGGCAAAAACTATACAGCATATTGAAGTCGATTTTGATACTCACATTTGTTAACCTTATCAGTTCGTTTTTATTACTTCAATTGAAGCTTTATTTTTTTGACAATTAAGCTCAAAGTAGATACTTTTACATTACTGTAAATATTGTCATCATCACAATGTGTAACATTACCAATGAGACTGAGAAGGCGACATTACTTGAAGACGTCACAATACCAAGATCAGCAGAGAGAAGGACAAATGCATAGTATAGAACCGACACCGTTATTGGCCTCTAGCTTTAATTAGGAGTGGAGTATATAAAAGCCATAGTGTCTGTGAAATATCTACTAATATCGCTTGTATATTATGCCTATGATTACTAAACTAATATTTTGTACTCTAACTACAATAAAAGTTCACTGTTACAAGTACAAAATACTAAAGGCGTAACATAGGAAACCCGTAATATTAACTACCTGACGAATCATCACGCTGCAATCCTCTATCGGGCTCAACTGTCAAACCGAGCAAGTCTGTCAAGAGATTTAGAAGAAGAAAAAAATTAAAACGTGTTTTACTTATTCTTAAGGAATTCGCATTGCTACTTTTCTAACATATAAGAGAAACTACAATATTGTCATCCCTTTTCCACTAAGAGACATTTAAATGTTGCCTTCCTTTTCGCACATAAAAGAAAAAATCATGTATTTTTATTGAAAGTCATGATGATATTTATTTGTTGTTTTTATGAAATTACTCCATTAATTTATTATAATTATTAATATCATGTCATACACACATTCGAATCGAATCAAGTCGAAGAAATTTTTGTTTAAGTTCAATCTTTATAAACCGCACGGATATATATCTATAAATAAACACCGCAAGTACCGCGATCTGTATGAAAACCAAGCGTGCCACATTTTTTGTACCTCCGATGACGTATTTTGTGATGGAAACCTCCTTCGGCACTAAAGTGATTGATTAAATCGAAGACGCGGACGCGACACGTATTTAGAACAATGATTTTTCAAGTAGTTGTTGATTATAAGAAGCCGTCAAATATTAATATAGTAAAATAATACCAGAATAAGATAATTAAGTCCTTTAAAAAAGTTGCTCTGGAAAACTAAAAAAAAAGAACAACAAACTTTATAGAATATTTTTATAACATTTTGTATAATCTTAAGAATTATCATCCCTTTGTTTCCTAAATCGATCAGAATCGAGAACTGTGTTGCATCAAGTGAGCATCACTAATCGGTAAAATTTGACCAAGAATATGACGAAGCATCCGTACCGCGAAACTGAACGCATTATACGAAATCATCGCATGTACACTAAGTAAAAACCGCAATGTATTACGAATTATGCGGCATACGCTCGTTTGCATATTTGTTTCTTCGAAATTCATTTAAAATGAAAATAATTGATTTTAAAATAAATTAGGCATAATCTGAAACTGTGGAAGGAAACGTTCCTGTTCTTTCATCTATTCATAGCGGTGCTGTTTTCACAGTTTCTAAAGGCACAATTGATCATTTTTTGCATTTTTGACTGATGTTTAACTACGATAACAGCTAGGCACGTTCTGAAGCGCAGCAGCGGCAATTAAGCGTTTATGGCTTAAATTAGGCACGCGAAGTAGGTACAATTGCGGCGTCTATTTAAATATACGTCTGCGATCAATCGTATTAAATATGTACGTTCCAAGAGCAACATTAAAATTCACGGGGTGACTATTTTTCTTTTTTTTTATGTAAAAAAGGAGGCAAACGAGCAGACGAACCACTTGATGGGAGGTGGTCATAGTCGCCCATGGACATTTGCAACATCAGATAGGCTGCCTATGCATTGCTAGTCTTTGAGAGCCCTGTAAAGACGCTTTCTGAAGAACCCCATGTCATAGCGCAAAATAATTCTTCAGGAGTCATTCCACAATTGCAGGTTCGACAAAGGAACGAACGAAATGCCCGTGTATTCTTACAATGCCAGGCATGTAAGATGTGGGGATGGAATTTTTCTCCTTTGGCGGGGGGTGCGATGGTGGAAACGAGACAGCGGCACCAATTCGAAAAGTTCCTCAGAGCACTCCTCATTACAAAAACCGGTAGAACTCATACAGCGAGCTAACGTCTCTCTGTAAGCTAAGGAACTCCATACCGTCTGCGAGTTTGGGATCGTCGACAATGCGAACAAAATACGACTAAAATGCCACTGGAATTCAGGATATATCTTTCGTTAGTATCATTTAAGAAAATTGTTTATTCACTTATCGTTATTCTCACTCTCGCCACCCATTTTTGTCTGAAAAGACTACTACTACCTCCGACTACTACTACCTCCGTACTATCTCCGTCAGATTTTCAAAATCCATCGTCCTTCACTAAATATCTGTTTTATTGAACCCCGAGGTAAAAGTAGAGGACTTATAAGTTCGAAGCCTTCGTCTGTGTCAGGTGGACTGATCTCAAGCGGATTTTTTATTTATTTGAAGGCTAATTTGATGATAATAATAACAACAATATAATATAATAAAATATAATAATTTAGTAGTAGTCGAGCTCGTTGTGAAAGAGTTCATCTGCTACCTATTCCTGGCGCCAAGCAGTATTGTGAGCATTACTGCGTTCCGGTTTTAGAGGGTAGGGGTGCTGGTGAAATTACAGAATCATGGGATTTGTCAACTTATGTCTCAGGGTGACGGGCGCTGTGGCAGTGTCGAGGACTCGGCTGCATGCAGTTGAAGTTTTAACTTCAAGCGTCGATGTGAACGATAGTCCGAGAATCAAAAGTAGTAATTGACATTCTTATGAGGATATATTATTAATAATACATCGTTTATTATTAAAAATTTCTTTTCATATTGCCTTCATTTCGGGTACATAAACAATCACACTTACACACAACATAAAAATCACCTTCTCTATAGCAACATAAGAATAGTGGATTTATCCACGCTGCACACTTTCGTTTTCGGCTTCGATTACACCAGTAGTTTAACAATAGAACAGAAGTATCAGTGCTTCTATTTTCTCAATGTCCCTCGGCAAACTTCGCGTTTCGGCTGTGGTCGGATTTTATTCAGTTGGCTTTTATTTTGGTACAGACCGGATGCTTTCAGTCGACTTAGAAGTATATAGAGTTGCTGTTACATTTTTTATTTACTAGAATTATTATTACTATTTTTATTATATACAATTTTATAATAAATACCTGTTCGAACAGCGCGGAAAACGATTATTCCATCGATGACGAACATAGTAACATAGCTATATCGGATGAAGAATTGCGTTCAGATACGGACTGAATTGAAATGATTAATAACCGGAAAAATATACATTTTCAGTTATACAGTGTGTTCATTTGTAATCTCGCCATATTTACAGAGGTCATTCTATATCCAAAACTGAACCGACATCACTAAAAAAATAAATCGAAAAAAGATTTCGTAAATTCGTACTTTTTATTTAATTGCGGTAAACAAATTTGATCCAAAGGTCATTGACTTGCACGGCACTTGCAAACATTTTGAACAATGACGTTAAATGCGCAGAAAGGAACGCATTTTAGAGGTATTTGGTGGTGGGGTGCGGGTTGTGACGGCGGGGAGTATCGAGTCGGGGAGAGTCGAATATCGTATCGAGCGCGCGATTGGTAGATCAGTCGACCTTGCATCTCGTACTACGTCTACGTCACGCTGACATCCCGCATAATCCTATTCCAGTCTGTCAAGAAATGCCACGTGTTTGGTATGTAAACATGACATGGATAATAAATGTTATTAAAAATAGGGAAAGTTTTGCGGCTCTATATAGTTCATACGGAAATCAAAACAAAACGATAAAGTACGTTGTTCTAAATTCAAATTATTTAAGATTTTAAATCTAATAATTAATGGGCACGGAAATTAATATTCATATGCATTCGGAAATGCGATGAGTGCCGAGGGACATTGCGAAAATAAGAAGCAGTGTAGCGTCCGTGTTTCCATCGCGACGTCAACTTTTACACTGAGCTCTTGAGCTAGACGCGCGGCGATAAGTACCTGCAGCCGATCTTGACTGCATGCAATTAATGCGTGAAGTCGTTTCGCAGTCGAGGTTTCGGCTGCATGAAGTTCATTACAACTTTTACGCGTTAAGTGCAAACATGCAGTCAATCTGTTAGCAGCCTAAGAGGAACCTCCGGGTGTTCCTTAAGAGGGATTTGAAGCCGTAACTCATTGTCAATAGAATTTAGCACTATAGTCTCTCAGTTGATAAAACAGACAAACAAATTAGTTTAAACGATTTTAAAGAGATGTCGCTACGATGTTCCAAATCCACAAGGCGGAAAAAACAAATTTGACAGTTCTGAAATCTTGAGGACACGAGATATGCACATCGAGTACATAACCAGAAATAGAGACAAAAGGCTAACCATCCCTGGCAACTTTAAATATCAACTCTACTTTGCGCTGAAATCACAAATTAGAAAGCTGAAATACTACAACGCCAACAAACGACCTGTGTGTACGTCTCTGTATATTCCAAAAATATTCTGTATTTATTGTAATAATGTCTCTAACAATGAGGGGCTTTTCCATTCGGCGGCGTGGGAAACAATAAAACATCTAATTACAAAACAAACGGAATCACTTTTCGTTGGTAATTAAATATGTAATTTTTCAATTTTCATCCATTATAGCAACGCTCAAGTTAAACTGGTCGATTTGAAGTAAAAAAAAATGACTACATCCGTCAATTGTTTCGAATTCGGGCTCGCCAATCAGAGCGCAGTTTTTACAGTAATGATTTGGATGAATAGTTTTCAAACAAATTAAATGACATTTGGTCTCTATTTCTGGTTATATACTCGATGGGTTTGGGTATGTATATGTACCTGTATAAGAAATACGATGATGACCCATCTTTTGGGGGAAGAGAAATGTTAGCACAATTTGCGCGTTTTTGGCAAATATATGGAATTTAGCGTAATGATTGTTAAAACATGTAAAGCTGATAAACGCAAGTAAGTGTTCTTCCTAAAGCTTAAAACATTTGACTCGAAATAAAGTATGTTTGTCGTACCCCAATTTTGACGTTACACACAAATTTAGTTAAAAATATCAGGTTACAAAAGTGACTTGTCAGCTTTTAGAAATTTGCATTGAAACCGTGACATTAAAAGAGCGAAAGAATAATGCGGGACATTATTACACAGGATACCAAAATCTTCCATAACTTGAAAGAACCTTATTTCTTGAATTATTAATTAATGAAAGAGCAGTTTTATTTGCAAAATTATCGTGTTCGTAAAATGCTCACACCTCAAAATGTCCCAATTCACTAAAGATCTAATTTACGAAACGTCCAACTTCGAAGAGACAATAATTTAACTGCCTCCGTAGCCGAACGGATACCATGCCGGACTGCCACGCAGAGGTCCCAGGTTCGATTCCCGGGCCGGGAGAAAAAGTTGTATGGCCTACAATTATTTCTCTCGTGTGTTTGGGTGTAATTTGTGGTTGTCTATGTGTGTCTATGGCACCCGCGACACAGGGTTTCCCTAGTGCGGGGCTATGTTGAGTGTGTGCGTTATATAAAAAAAAAATTAGAACTTTTTTACAAAAAAGACCGACATAAAAAGTTTTTGAAATAGATGTACTATTTGCCAATTTATTGAAATTGTATTTCAAATGTTATTAGTGGAACCTCTAGTAGGAATACTAAACAAAACAACTTAATGCGTATTATGTACGTATTTACCTGAAGTGTTGTCCTGTGCGGAGCCAGAGTCGTTTGGTACGAGCGTTTTTAAGAAATTGTTTATATCAAAATCTTGTTTCTCGCTAGGCCTGTTGTTAATAACTTCTATTTTGTTGGCTGCAAGGGGAAATATACAAATTAATTATACGACAACTCACGTCCCAAGCCGTGCTCAAGTCTTGGCCATACCACTTGGGTGTAGTAGTTAATCTTATAATCGCTGACAAGTTTCTTCTGATCCACAGATAGTGGTGAAGAGCCTATTGATACAAATATGGAAGTAATTTTCTATTCCGCGAACCCTAGTTAAAAGCAGCCAATTTATGTTACCATGGGTGACAAGAAGCCAGGATAACTTAAACGTTTTGGTTAATTTGTTAATAAGAAATTATTACTTCTCAGCATGGTACTTGTTTGTCAAAGTTTATGTTATCAACTGCACACATAGACACATTTAGTATAACACTGGTAAAGTCCATAAAATTACTTCCTTTTAATTTCCTAGTAATGTAAAGTAGTTGATTACGCTTTCTTGAAAATTTTATAAAATTTAGTTGACAAAGTTTTCTTTTAATTTATTTAATCAATGTTTAAATTGTTTTAATTTTCAAATTTTCTGCTGCTTGTACTTTGTTACAATATGTAACAAAATGCATTTTTTTAATTTCGATTTTTTCAGCGAAGATTGAACAAGGCTATACAAAGCCGACGATAAAAGATGTTAATTTAATTGCTGTATTATGGCTATATTCTTGTTTGTTTAAATATAAATGTTTCTATTTTATATTCTCTTTAACGCAATTATGACTATCATGACAAATACTTCCCATTCTAAACATAAATTATGAATAATTTACTATTATTTATTATGCCACTGTTACTTTGTGTTGAACATATCAAACTCTTCCCTGGGCGCCATATTATCCTTTACAAAACTACTGGAAACAACTTAAAACTTTGAAAAACATGAAATTGTGAATCAAATTACGTTATTAATTTTCGTAAAATGGACCACATGCTGTATATATGTATATGCTGTATAAATGTATAATATATGTAAACACCAATAATTACCTCCTCTGTCTGGGGCCAGAGCAGATAATTATTGGTGTTTACAATGAATGAAATTGTTGAGCACAGTGCCGAAGGGCTGCACAGGCCCTAAAAAGCCACTCTAACACGAAAATAATAAAATATAATAATAATAATAACTTACCACTATTAATGTTATCAGTAGACTCGTTGAACAATGCCATAGGGTTGTCCGATGAAAGGAACGAGGACAATCCCATGTTGTACAAAGATCCGTCTGCTGACATTGAGCTGTTGAATGTCTGGTCGATGTTGTATGATACTGGAGAAGAGCACAGGATTTAATATAGTAAAACACTTATACTGTCATGTTTAAGCTAGTTTTAGCTTATGTTGGTTATAAGAATCTAGATAATACTATAATTTTATAAAGAAAACACCGACTTCAAAACTTTGCTTTTATTAACTGCCTCCGTGGCCGAATGGTTACAATTCTGGTCTGCCACGCAGTGGCCCGAAGTTCGATTCTGTGTAATTTTAGATTGTGTAAGTGTCCATGGCGCCCGCGACGCTGTTTCCTTTTTGCGGGGCTAAGAGTGTGTGCTTTATTTTATTTATTTATTTATTCTGTCGCTGTGTACGTTCACGGATGGAGGCTATTGCCTCGATTAATTGGCGCGACGTGAGTGCGATGAAATTCGTATCGAATAAACGCGCCCTAAGAGGCAGAATATTTTCTTCAAATTTAAATGGAACCACAACTAAAGTACCAGTTTAGTAGCAGTGGAGCTCCTTGTGAAAGAGTTCGTCCAGGGATGTACTGCCACCTTACCTATTTCTGGCGCCAAGCAGTAATGTCAGCATTACTGTGTTCGGGTTTTGAAGGGTAAGGGTGCTGGTGAAATTATAGGCACATAGACTTGTCAACTTACATCTCAGGGTGACGGGCGCAGTGGTAGTGCCCCTCAGATCTGTGCAATTTAAAGCTCTGAGTGGCACTGTAACTGTTATGGATAGGCGTGTAGCTTACCATCAGGCTCACGACTTGTTCGTCCCGTCACTTGATGTTATAAAAAAAACCATATTTCGTACAAAAAAATAATAAATGTTTCATAAATGTCGGAACATTTACAAGACACATATCGCATACACAAAAAAACACATACACAAAAAAACTACAGTCAAATTGAGAATTCCTTTTCAGAAGCCGGTTAAAATTATCTTTAATTGCCACGATTATTATGAAGGAGTAGCAGTCTAATTTTAAAAAACTCTATCGTCCTTTTGCAGATAGCTTATATTAGTGCAACAATTAGGCAAAATTCGCAAGTTTCACTTGTCTACAATATAAGTCAAGCTCGTGCCTATTTTTGAGAAGAAATTGACAACTTGGAGAAGACATATTTTTTGTCTTTCTCCTCAAACCTGCTAAAATAGAAAGATATTATGATGGGTCATGCAAACATGTTTTCGCATTGGTTTATAATTTATTTATTTCTAATGTTATAAACTTACTGTCATCATCACCATCGTTGTTACCAACAGCTGCCGGCAAATCCAGGTCCTCATCAGGCCCTGGTGAGGGTACATCCTCGTCCCTTTGAGGAGGGGATGGTGCGGCGTTTGGCAGAGTTGGTATTAGCTCGTCTAGTTTACGCTTTAAAGCGCGAACGCGGGCGCCAAAGTTTTTGTATGCCTGTAGGTGATTGAAATGAATTCAGTACTGCTGGAACGTAAAAGTGTAGCTCTGATGCGCATCGTCGACTAATTTCGTAAGCCTCCATTAATGTGAATTTTGAATAGGCACTAA